TTTTCTCACTCCAGTAAGGAGTCTGGCCGCCACATTCTGCACCACTTGAAGTTTCCGCATCAGCAAGGCAGCCCCACGTAGAGCGTGTTACAGTGGTCTAATCTAGAGATTACGATCGCATGTACCAAGGTAGTGAGCGCATGTCAAGGTAGGGTTGCAGCCGGGCAATCCACCAAAGGTGGAAAAAGGCGGTGCGAACTACCGACGCCACCTGGGTTTCCACAGTGAGCGTGGGGTCCAGGTGTACCCCCAGGCTGCGAACCCCATTCTTAGCAGCCAGGGTCACACCCCCCCCAAATGTGAGAGAGCCACCCAGGCCACCAACTCCAAGGGCATCCATCCTCAGAATTTCCGTCTTGTCCTCAGCCCATTTTCCTGCATCCACTGCAGTATGGCCCCCAGGCAGCGCTGGAGGGACAGGATGGCATCACCTGCAGTTGGTGAAAAGGAGATGTAGAGCTGGGTGTCATCAGCATACTGATGACACGAGGCTCCCCATTGTGTAATTTCCCTTAGGGGATGAGCCTTAACTGGAAGGCTGAGCTCCGCCTCGCTCCTCCCAAGTGTCTGGTGCTTGCCCCAGGGCTAGCTGGGAGCTTTCTTTCTGAACAGGAAGCGAGACAGAAGCTCGGCCTTGCTTGGCCTCAAAGCTTTGCGATTTAGGCCTTTCTTCCAGGTGTGCCAAAGTTCCTGGTAGGCTTAGGGTTGCCAGATGCATGGGTACCAAAAGGAGGACATAGAAAGACAAAAAAAGAGGACAGAGGAGGAAGTATTGAATATTTCATTTGAATCGTTCTGGATTAAACCCGCAATACAGTTTTATTACAATAGCTGCCAATAAAGGTCTCTTAGTGAACAGACCAAGAAACACTCATGTTAAAAAATAAAAATGAATTCAATGGAGGCTTTTTTCCCCAAAATACCAAAATAACATTATTTAAACAGCCAATTGTACCCGAAGCCACCCTGGCCTAACTGCAGGATCCCCCAGCTGCTCGCACTCTGCACAGGTTCAGAGGCAACCTTGTTAATCTGGACTCCCAAACAAGGTTCCGGCACAGGGAGGGGGAAAGCAGTGCCTGGCAAAACCGAACAAGGCAGCCTCCCCTCCCTCGAGGGTCATAAGTTCAAGGCTGGGGGAGTGTGGGAGTTGGAGTCCCTGAAAGGGAGTTTGAACACAAACAGTCCAGGCGCTTGCCTTCCCATTGATGCACTTGGGTGCTGCTTGCTCCTGCATGGCTTGGTGGGCGGCGCTCTGCTCACACTGCCTTTCTGGGCTCCACATGGTCTGGGCGGGCATGGCAGATAACGAAGCAGCTGCTGCCACAGTGAGAGGGGGGCGAGGGCTGCGCTCCGGCACCAGTGGCAGGTAATGAGAGGCGGGGTAAGACAGGGAAGGGGGAGTCCTTCCAGCTCTCCCCCTCCTATCCAAAATTATACAAAAGCCTGACATTTTATCTTTGCCTGCCGGATGGAGGACATTAGACTAAAAAGGAGGACATGTCCTCCTTTTGCCTGACATCTGGCAACCCTACCCCAGGAGGATACCATGGTGGACGGTATCAAAGGCCGCCGAGATGTCGAGGAGAACCAACAGAGACACTTTGCCCCTGTCAGCCTCCCTCATCAGGTCATCGTACAGGACGACCAATGCCGTCTCTGTACCGTGGCGTGGCCTGAAGCCCGACTGGAATGGATCCAGGGCATCTGTCTCATCCAAGTGAGCCTGAAGCTGATTAGCGACCACCCTCTCGACCACTTTGCTCACGAAAGGAACATTGGCGACGGGCCTATAATTGCCAGTCTCATCCGCCGCCATATTTTCTTTCTAATGGGCCCAATGAGTGTCTCCTTGAGGGCAGATGGAAACCTGCCCTCAAGGAAAGACCCATTTATTATTGCTGTGGCCCATTCAGTTGTTTTCGGCCTGGCTGCTTTGATTGGTGGCTCGACAGTGATCAAGCACCTTGTCCACAGAATCAGGCGTCACAGGGTGAAAGGAGTTGAAAATCACAGGGCAAGACGGAGCGCTGGATATCTCTGTTTGACTCATTGTATTTAAAAAAGGAGAGAGCTCCCGGCGGATGGCCTCCACTTTAGACTTTTAAAAAGGCTGCAAACTGGTCAGGTGAGAAAGTAGGGGGAGGCCTATCATCTGAACCAGTTCCGGATAGGTCGCACACTATATGGAATAATTCCGCCTGCTAGTTGGACGCTTCGCTTATCCGGTTAGCGAAGAATGATCGACATGCAGCCTTTATCTTATTCAGGTAAAGGTTAGTTGCGACCTTAACAGCTATCCAGTTACAGTCTGTCGGGTTCTTCCTCCATCTACGCTCTAGCCTTCTCCTTATTCGCTTCATCACTCGAAGCTCCTGGTTAAACCAGGTTGCTGGCCGAGCTCTACGAACAGAGAGGGCGTTTAGGCGCGATCGTGTCTATGGCCCTGGTGGCAGTGGCAGACCAGTTGTCAACCAGAGCATCGACAGGAGCGCTAGCCACATCAGCCGTCAGCCCTCTCATGATGTCCTGAAATCCAACCGGATCCAGTAGTCTTCGAGGGTGGACCATAGAAATGGTCCCTGCTCCCTGCGAGGGGGGAGAGCCACTGTGAAGTTACATTTTATTTGGTGGTGATCTGACCATGACAAGGGGACTGACATGAGGTCCGTCACCACCAGATCACACTCGCTCCAACTGGAGGAAAAGACCAGGTCCAGTGTGTGACCACCCACGTGGGTGGGGCCGTTGACATGTTGTGGCAGGTTCAAGGAAGCAATGGTTTCCAAGAACTCAAGAGCTGTCCCAGATGCCTCTGCCCCCATGTGCACGTTGAAATCACCCAAGACCAAAAGCCTCAGGGATCCCAATAGTGCTGCGGAGACAAAGTCAGTCAACTCCAGAAGGGAAGTGGCTGGATCGTGGGGAGCGCGATAACCCAGCAAAATCCCAATACCATCCCTGGCCCCAATCGACACATGGAGTGCCTATAGACCCAGCTTTTCCACCGAGGAGCGCCTAGTAACCTCCAAGCTGGATTTATAAACAGTGGCTACTCCCCCCCGCCCCTCCAGTCTACGCTGGTGTTGGACAGCATAACCGGACGGACAGACAAGAGCCAGGGGAGGACCCCCCTCCCCGCTGATCCATGTCTCAGTTATGCATGCATGGTCTGCATTCTCCTCCAGGATAAGATTGTGAATCACCTGGGGCTTGTTGGCTACAGACCTGGAGTTCAACAGTACCAGAGTTAGAGTGGAGGGCTGGCTGGGCTGGCTA